TCTATCTTGACAATTTTGAGATTCCCCTCAAAAAAAGAAAAATATTAACACTTCTTCAGACACTTAAATAAATGCACTTTGTAGAGCTACTGATACGTTTTTATTCCAGTTGTCATCAAAAGAATTGTGAAATATCTTTGTTAACAACAGAATCATGTCCTTTATTAACATTATTGAAAAGATTGCCAAACTTTATTTTTTTCTAAATGTGGCTCAAAGTTGAACTTTCTTATAGTATTCTATCTTGGTCTGGATTTATATAGCCAAAGTAAAAAAACAGGTCGTGTATCTACAGGTTCAGGCTCAATGTCACGTTTTCCCATTATCCCAAATGCAGAATACTCACCAACACTATACATGTGCACATCAAAAGCAGCATACGCACTGCATCTTATGTCAACTCAAGTTTATAAAATTAATTCAAATCCTGTGTCAAAATAACAATGATTTGCAGCACTGAATGCATGGCCATGATGCTTTCCTTAGATACTAAGTTCTATGGTAGAAATTTACAGACTGTAGCATTCCTAAATAAATTAAAAAAAAAAAAAAGAAAAAAAGGAAGAAAGAAAGAAAGAAGGGTACGATAAAAGACAAACATAATAGCTGTGCTCATGTCTGCTTCAGATTGCCTTAATATTTGCTGGGGACGTTTGCTCAATCTTTGCACCTGATTTCTTTCAGCAAATCCTAAATTCTTACTAAAGCTCTAAAATCATTCCCATTATGTTTCCGTCAACACTAGTCTTGCTTCATTCCTCACTCGCTATATACATGCTGAAATTCAGATTAAGTAAAAATATATTTTAAATACAGGGGTTTACTATTAAAATGCACTCTGCACTGCTCCAGCAGAGACTGCTATTCTTTTGCTACTTCTGATAAGCACAGCACTGCTTTCCTTTAAAAACTGTGGTTTCTACTACTCATCTTTTTGTATTTACTTCTTTCCACACAGGGAGTAGACACAGAAGAAAAATGCCTAATTGACATATTAGCCTCAAGATCAAACATGGAGATCTTCCAGATGAAAGAAGCCTACCTAATGCGTAATGTTTTCTAACAAGTGCACTGTAGCAGTCGTACTATGTGTGCTCTGGACGTATTAGCACACACAAAGGAAGAGAACTACAAAAATCACTCCTCAATACTGACTGGTTCCCTTCCCCATCTCCTCCCCTGACTATATTCCAAAGGCTGAAACAACGTGGGTGGGTGGACAGGCAAGTGGGACAGCAGCTGAGTGCCCCCAGCAGGGCCAGGCAAAGTGCCAGCCCCATGGCCAGGTCCATGGAGAACCTGCCCAGGTTACAGTGGAATAAACACCATAGAGAATGGACAAGTATTTGAATCCTATTTATTTATCCTTTGTTTGACAATCTTCATTTGTACTATGCAGAGCATAATCATTTGTGATTTTGATTACATGCTTTTGGTTTAACCTAGAATATAATACTGATCTTCAACAAGATATCAATTCCGAGACTTCAGGGCACTTCAGAGATACGCTCATGAACCTTGCTCAGGTACTGTAAAACCAAGTAGTAAGATTTACATTTCTAAAAAATTCATAATGTCTTTTGATACTATTTGAGAAGTCTTAAATTTTAAGGTGACTGTGGTTAAAGCTAGTTTAATAGGGCTACACTTCCAAAACGGGGGGGGGGGGGGGGGGGGTGGGAATCAGATGAGGGAGAGAGTAATCTTCTCAGACTTTGGCTATCAGATAGAGGCAAAGGTTAAAAGGTTATTTTATAAAGTCCCCTGATTATTCAACTGCTGATCCTCTGCTCCATCTGTCTCTTTTCAAAAGGAGTCTAGTTGCATGTACAATTGAGATTGTTATTTTTAAAGCTCTCTTTTCTCCATTATTAGAATATATAATCCAGTTGAAACATTATGTGAAAATGGAGATATATCCACATTTGACTAAGAAATAAAGTATTAAAGAGATCTCTGCTTTAACTATGATGTTCTTTGTGCTACTGCATATGCTAAATCACAGCATGTTTGCACAGAGGCAAAGTGTCACTATGACACACTAACTTCTGCAGTTTTACCAGTTTGTAGTTTTATACAAAGAAGTGGTCATCCTTGCCAGATCATAAGTTCCCATTCTCATGGTAGTCACTGTGCTCATTATCTTAAAAATCTTTTGTAATCCAGAGTAACAACTAATGACAAAGGTACTGCAAGGAAATAACAGCATACATAAGGTATATCTGTATATAAATATATGTATGTCTGGGGAAAAAGTTCCTACTGAGATATGAAAGAGCAGCAGGTTTCACTGAGGTACAAAGAGCAGATGCATCAAAAGTAGAAGCTATAAACAGGAAATATTTTTTCTCATTTTTTTTCCCTAATAATGAAAATTCTTACTTGCTTGAAAATTAAAAGCTAGAGGTTAAGCAACCTCACTTCTCATCTTTATTAAAACCATATTTTACCCATCAAACAAACTAAATTTAAAATAATCTAAGATTATACATTATTAGTCCTTATTTTCTTAAACCCCAGGCATTGATAAAGAGGTCTAAAATCAGCAACTTCTTAGCTAATAAGATCTGCTATTTTTCTCAAGACAAGGAAAAGCTGCAGGAAACTTCAACTTTACTCCGTTATACTGTCAACTTTTGAAGATTGTTAGTCAAATCACTCATGTTTGGATATGATCTTATATTTAAACTCAGTGATCTTTTATTAAAATAGGTCCTTTCTAGTTCCTTTACCATGCAATTTACAGAAGATTATTCTATAGCAACATTCCGATGCATCCTTTAATGCTTTTTTTCAGAAGCCCTTTGCTTTAATTTCTATTAAATCTTGGGACTGATGACACACATATCTGACTACAGTTGGAAGTAAATGTGCTCCACATATGGAGAGCAAACTATTCAATTACTATTGTGCTGTATTTACAGTTTTCAAGTCCAGCCTGAGGCAGACTAGAAGTTATAGTTTATAGTCCTTCTTAAAGAAAGTAACAGAATTACAAATTCAGGCTGACTAATAGTCTAGTCTGAGATGAACAAAATATGATAATTTTCTACAATTTAAAACATAATTATACAAATGTTACTGGCAAAAGTGGACATTTGACTCATGTAGAGTATTATTTATGTTATTGTTCACTTGTCTTTGTTTCCTGTGTTTTCTTGTGTATGTAACTTTATGCAGTCATTCCATCATAATTTACTTCAAGTAATTTATCTTATTGCTAGGAATTTCACTGTGTGAAATTCTTACTGCTTAATTAAAATATACATTAACATTTTTAACAAGAAAGAGCTACAAATCAGTCATTCTACAAGCTGACAGCCAATACATAATTTTAATTCTCCCTTTCACATATAAGGTAAAATACTGTAAATTTTAAACTAAACTGTTTCAAACACATATTAAGGCAGTGATTACATGAGCTTGAGATTGTTAAGAGTTCTGCAACCAAGGTTGATTTCTATCCTTACAAGATGGCTATGGTCAAAAAAGCAATTCCAAGAGTTGTGTGCTCTTCTCTAACAGCTATACAATTCAGTTTATAGTGTGTTTATTAAAGAATTTAGCTTGATTTGTGTAACTGAAAAGCTATTAAATATATGGAAACATTAGAAGTATTCTTCAGTGTTTTGTGTATAAAACTTGACAAACGATTTCTTAGTCTTGGTTCTTAATTTTAGACAATGATTGAGCAAGCAAAATTTCCATTATTTGATGAGCTTGCTCCTATGATTTGCGCAGGGAGAAAAAAAATTGAGAAAAGATTCTTCTGGTATTATGTATATTGATAAGAACTAATCAGTGAATGGCAAATGTTACTCTTACCCTTATTTTCCCCTCAGAGTTACATATTACAGTAAGCAATATAATATCCATACTTCTGAAAATGGTGGTGGGATGGTGGTGGTGGGTTAAAAGCTTATTTAAAATGGGACTAAGAATGGGATAGGTTTATCCAATTCCCCCATTTTTCACTCTCATGTGACTGTCATTCCAGAGTTCCTCTTATTAAAGAAAATGAAGACATAATGTGACAACTTGAGGCTATTTTCTACATTTGCAAATTCAACCATGGAATATACTTTTCCAATCTAAAAGACGATATATGCAAGTTAGCTTCATATAGAGATAACTTTATATTCCTACAGTGTTTTAGGATTTAATTTTTGAAGAAAATGTTATTTTTTTTTCCCAGGGAACAAGGATGGAAGGATATGCAGACCCTTCTACGGCTGCTCAGGATGCAATGGTAAATATGCTCAGATGTGAACTTCTCAAATATTAAAAAAATAAAAAAATAGAAACTTTGAAAAGTGATTTAGGACTGACTTAAAATATTTTGCATGTTTTTTCCTTTTTCTGGTATACTAGATTCTATGGGAAGCATGTCAGCAGAAAACAGGCGAACACAAAAACATGCTGCAAATGATTCTCTGCAACAGAAGCCACCAGCAGTTGTGGATGGGTAATCCAGTAGTTCAGCTGTTTAGGCAGAGTGGAAAGGAAAAATCTGACTTGCTAATAAAGCCATGCTTTGCATACCAAGACACTCAGTGTGCAGCAGGGCATTAGCCTGAAACCTAAGTGTGAACTGTTGGAGCTCAGACTCCCACTGATGTTAATGGGATTTTGGAAGTAATGCAAAACTGAACTTTGCCTGATGACTCCTGACAGCTGTAGACAGAACAGACAGGCACCAGGATGCCTAATAACAGAGGGAAGAATGCATGACCAAAGAAAGGCAAATGCTATGGCTGCCAGAATTAACACATGACACAACAGGATGAGGTGATTTTTCTTAATGATTTTCTTCATTTTCCCTAAGTAACTTTTGTGAGGGAAAATACCTCAGGAGAGGTGGATGGAGTATTTTCAACAAATGTTTGTTTGTGAAAACCCATTGCTGTGTTGAAGCTTTCCCTGGAAGTTCCAAAAAAGTTTTTGATGGGAGCACTTCAGTGTGTACATCCACTCTCCCATAACAAAAATACACACAGAAACACAAGGGTCATTTTTATTAAAAATAGAGAATCAGACATAATTGCAGATTGCAAGAAATTCATGTGAGCTCATCCAGATCTTCCACTGTAGAAAAGAAACCTATAGTATCTGTTTGGTGACAAGTATGAGTTTTTGCTCTGCACTGGAAAAACTGTCTGGTGACAAGTTTATCACTGTGCAGCCAACTGTATTTCTTATGTCAACTGCTAACAGTAGCTTAGAGTTACTTTGCTATCATGGATCAACAAATTCATTCAGCTGGTGTTGACAGGATTAAAATAATGTAACACACCTGCTTTATGTTCTGCTCTCTTCCTGAGATTTGAGGGCTCTGCCTGTACTGTAGTCCTCCACAAGTTGTGTAGTAAGCAGTGAGCTGAAAATTTTCCTCCTTCCCTAAAGGAGAAAGCATGCTCTGTATATTTGTATGTCTGGATACACACATTATGCAGAGAGTGTCCAGGTCTGGATACTGACATGTTACACATGTCATGCAAGCCAGGGCTTCCTGTCACAATCCGTGAATCTCTGGCCAGTTTTAGCCAAGCTGAGCAAGGAACTTGCCTTAATGACCTGACAGTCTTACATTTCATAAACAGATGTTGCTAGATGGAGAATTTATTAAAGCTTCCAGTGAAACAGAGGCTGTGGCACGCATTCATTTCAGACTGTAGACCGAAGAACCCAGGCAGAGAATCTCCTGGAAGCCAGGTTTCAGGCTACTCATTTAGATTGCCTTACCTGGGGAATATAAACATAATGAAACACTGTGAATAATAAGGAAAAAAAATGAACTCAATAGTTATAGTACTGGGGGGAGCAATGAACTAAAAAACAAGCAAATTGATCATTATTAATGAACTAAAATAAAACAAGGGGTTTTTTTTCCCCTCCAAGTTTTCCAGGAGTTCCAAAATATCTCTGGGCAAGACATAGTAGATGCCATTAACGAATGTTACGATGGATACTTTCAAGAATTACTGGTTGCAATAGGTAATGTAATAATATTACTTTTACTAGCACTAATTTCTTAGTAAATATCTAGTATGTTATCTCTTGTGCATCAAGAATATTATTTTCTGATATTTTTATTCACTTTAATCTCCTACATTGTGCAATTAAATTCTCAGACATAATTATAGAAGAATATTTTAACTACTTTCCCATGTCTGTGTAAATCCAAAAATGTATCCATGCAGCACAAGCTCCTCATTGACCAGAACTAGTATTTGTTCTTTATTTTGTAACAAACTTTGTGTGATCAATGATAACTGCATTTCCAACTGATGTTAAAAATACTAAATAATTGGCAATGTTTTCAGGACTTTGGTGGATGTAAACACGTTTCAAGCTTTATGTGCCTTTGTTCTTCATTGACAGAATAAGAATAATAGTTCAATAAAGAAGTCATTTGAGTTTATTCACTGATATTTAATAACCTCTTTGATGCAACAGCAATGTGGACCCACCCAAAATAAGTACCATATTTTTAAAATCTCAAATACAGTTATGTTAGTGAATATTGGTAGCTTAATTTTAAGCTGAGTCATGAAAAGCCAGCTTTATATTTCAAGGAGCCCAAAGCCAAAAGAAATTATTTTATAATAATTTCCTGTTTGTCTCTTGCAACTCTTCTCTCCTAGTCCTCTGCATTCGTGACAAGCCTTCCTACTTTGCTTACAGGCTTTATAATGCAATTCATGTAAGTAGTCATTTTTGACATGTCTTAAAAATCAGCTTCCCTTTTTTATTTGTTTGTTTGATCATTCTTAAACAAGTACTTACAAATCACTGTTCAATCTTTGTATGTTTTAAAACTGTTTAAATACCTATATAAATTTAAGTACCTATATAAATTTCAAAGCAGTAGTGCCTAAGCTACAGTTAGCATTTGGCAGTAAAGGGTTAAATATTTAGATACCTTAAAACAGTATCTGTCTGATAACTTTGTCAATTTTTTTTTAATTGAAAACATTTCTTTTCTATGGACGGTATCTCCCCCTGCTGTGCAGAACTCAACGTGCACTTTTCCTATGACGTAATTTTTTGTCTGTGGAGATTTAATAAGTATTGGTAAAAATTAAATAATAAATTAGTGTTACATAAAGACAAATGGTTATATTTTCTTGTGGGACTCCATGCAGGTTCTTTTATTTTTTGAGTAAGTGCTAATATACTAAAATAAATGAGTGCCAAGGAGAAATGTGGGTAAATGCAAAGAAACACTTACAAATTCCTTTTACTAGGGAGGAATGTCACTGGAGACATTTTCTTTTGTTTTTCATTCATTAATGAAAATTATGATGCATTATGTTTTATAAAAACAAAAGTATAATCTTATAAGGCTAATCTTTTAAGTATAATCTTTAGAAGATTGTCATAAGAGTAAGCCATGAGTAAGAATCACCTTAGAGCAGAAATGACACAGGTAGGAATTCCAAGCCAGAAACATCGAACAAAACTTCTGACCAACACTCCAAAAGTGTCCCAGTAACCTCTGCCAGATGCTGCCAGTACTGCTGTCCAGTGTTTCAGCTAAAACAACAACTGTGGCAGCAAAGAACCAAGAAAAATCCCAGGGTCTGACAGAAAGAGGCAATATTTTGTCTGACTTGTCAAAAGGGGATTCTGGTACATGACACGAAAAAGGTTTGCCAAAACTACCAGGAAATATCAACTATCAGGAGAAGTGATATTTCTCAATGTTCTGTATCAAGACTGCTTTTCAAGTTAAAACCTCCTTTCCAATTTTAAGAAATATCATATAAACAGCTTTATTCTATATTATATTCAGACAACATATGTGATGCAGAAATAAGTTTTTAATTATTAAGAATAAACCTCTACATTTTTTTTTTAATTAATATTTTACTATATTTTCTCAGTGTTTTAAAGAACACAGAAAATTCTCAAAAGAAATGCAAGAATTTAAAATAGTGTCTGGTTTTGCAGCCAAGCTATATCCATATTAGGTCAAAAGCATTTTATACATCAATTTATAATACAATATAATAAAACCCACCCACGATTCAAATGCTTGAAAACATAGTCCATAATGGTTTAATGGTTTATAAGAAAGATTTTAATCTAGCCAATCAAACATGTATCAGATTTTCTACATGCAGCTTTTTAACACAGTTCATCACTTCTTTTTGGAGAATAAGATTTCAGTATCAATGATTAGCTGATAAAACTACAATTTAGCTTTAAAGAATCTAAATTGGTCATCAGTTGTCCCAGTGTTACGACCCGCCCCAGGAAAAGAGAAGGGGGGGGGTAACTCAGGTTTTATCAAAAATTCCTTTGGGGTGGATTAAAGCGAAGCGACGCTAAATAATCGGTGTATGCAAATATATATAAGATTTATTTCAACAGTTTTGTATCAACAAGTAAGTTAATAAGATTTATCTTAACAGTTTTGTATCAACAGATAGGTGAACATTTTTTTTGGGGTGCTGTCATAATCAATAGGTAACTTTTCTGGGGAGGAGAAAAATGCATAGGAGAGAGAGAAAGGCAGGATAAGAGCCAGGGGGAGTAAGGGAAAGAAAAGCTGAGAGTAGATAGATGTCCATAGTCACCGCCCACGGGGTCCAGCGATGCTTGATGGTCTTGATTCGCAGGCGGTGGGGGAGAAGAACTCCCGAATTCCCAAAGTTACCAGTCAGTTTATATGCTCTAGTGCCTCCTGGCGTAAGGGGTTGTTTTTCCCTTTTTTGGGACAGTAGTGCCTCCTGGCATAAGGGGTTGTTTTTCCCTTTTTTGGGACCGTAGTGCCTCCTGGCATAAGGGGTTGTTTTTCCCTTTTTTTTAGGAGGAAACAGTAGACAGTCAAGAGCCCGCAAGCTCGGCTCCTTCCCGGCAGGTGTGTCAATAGCCCGAGGTCGTTGTTTTTCTTTTAGGAGGAAACAGTCAAGAGCCCGCAAGCTCGGCTACTCCCCAGCAGGTGTGTCAAAAACCCGAGAATGCATAAAACATCAACTATTTTAGTCTCTGACACCACCCCGTGATTTATGCATTCAATAGTTTTTCTTCTTTTGTCGTTCTCTGTGAATCTTCTTTGTGGGCGGTGCTTTTCGTATAGTGGACAGGGAGACAGAAGAGTGAAGGAAAGGAAGAGATTGCCCTAATGCATTACAATTCTCCCCCCCTTCAAAAAAAAAAACAAGCTAATTGTATAATAACATAGTAAGCTAATTTGCACTAGTTACTCTCTCCACCCCGTGAGTAGTCATAGGGGATGTAATAGGATCTCAATGACTACAATCAAATTTCTTAACATTAATGAGGTTACAAACATACATACAAATATTTGAAATTATACATCAAAAAACACTGAGTTACTTGGGAGCTGGTAAAAGGCTTTCTTATATTTTCTTTTAGGCCTAAATTTAGTTCCGTTTTTGTTAAATTTAACCAAATATAAAATTCAATGCCTTTCAAGGCAGAAGACTAATGTATATAATGCATATTCATATAATTCTAAATATGCATAAATACTTGTACTAACTCCCAGGTTATATTTGGTTGAGTTTCTCAATCGAGAGAGATATTTAAAAGGACAAAATGAACTTGACAAAAATCAAATTAACAGTACATCTTTATACAATTTTACCAGTATGTTGCTCACATTCAAAAGCTTCTCCCAAACTAACCTGCCCCCCAACAAAATAATAAAACAAACTTGGCAAAACGAAACTAGCAGTACATAAGATGGCTCGTCCTACACAATCTTATCAGCGAATTGTTCATGAAAGAAAAAAAAAACAAAACCCAGATAGGTCAACAATTATTAATAAGCTGATAACACAAGTAATTCTGGGAGTAGAGGGAGCACAAACACAATGTTTGTGGCAAACTTTTACATATTGAGACAAAAATACATATAGGCATGCATATTACAAAGTTATTAAGATAAAAACATTAAGAACAGTATAAGTCTTCAGTCCTGTTGCTATTTCGTTTTCTCATGGAATACTTGTAAGTTGATAATAGAAGCAGTTGTGGGGGCAGTTATCTCTTCTGCCTCTTGCTGTAATTGAAGCTCCATTGGTTTCATGCAGTTTGATCTCATCTGCTGGCAGGTTCCTGCAAAAGAACAAATCTGGCCCACTACGGACCGATTGTTAAAAAGAAGGAAGTATCTATTTATCCAACTCCTTTTCTTATCTGGCATAATGTTACTAGGGCAATAATAATAGAGAAGTTTGGAACATGTTTTCTCCAAAAAACAAATAAACTCAGACGGACAGAGAGGGGTGGGAGACCAAACACCCATTCTCTCCCTCTGGCATCTCTCCAGGCTCGACCCTTTAATAAATCTAACCCCAGGATATTAGCTGGTAGTGGCCCCACAATCATGGTAGTTTCTGGGGCTGTCTCATCTCCAGGTAAGCAGCATTTCACTCGAGCAGTGTATTGGGGTTGGGATTTGCCAAAGGCATCAGTTACCCATATTTCCTTTTTGTCTGGCTTAATGCCACACTGGGTAGCAGCTTCAGTTTGGAGTGCTGAGACCTGTGCACCCGTGTCTACCATGAATGTAACTAAAGATTTAAAAGGGCCAAGAGGAAAAGTGATTACCAAATCTCCCTGGTTGTTTTCTGTAAGCTTTCTCTCATAAACCCACTGGCTATTTTTTGGCTTATTTACTTGAGGGCAGTAAGTCCAGTTCCTTGACTCAGAACTGGTCAAACTGGTTAGTCCGGTTTCTGGAGAGGCTGAGGGGATCACAGTGTTGGACTCCTTAGAGGGGCTGCCCTTAGGGGGTGCCTTGTGCTCTTTGATCTTATCCCAGTGCTTTATCAAGTATTCTAAATTAGCAGTGGGTAATTTATCCATCACTTCTAGAGGAATTCCTTTTGCAACACCTTCTCTCCACAGACTGTATCTCTTTCTTCCGCTAGATGACACATTTTGTTGACAAATACCTGGCGAGGCAGGTTTTTGGACTTTCCCTGCCCTCCTGCAGTGTATTCTCTGGCCATTGGTACCAGGGAGCCCCAGCTGCTGACCAGTAGCTATTAATTCTTGGGCTATTTCCAACCAGGTTATTCCTGATGGAGCACCCCTTCCTCTAGGTCTGGGGGTTGCCTTTATGCGCTCCTGTAATTGTTTAGCATAAACTTTTAGTGCATCAGGCAGGCCTCGAATTAAAACTGGAAATCTCTGTGGGTCTGCCTCGAGTTCCATTGGGGAATGTCGTTGTGGGTCTAATAATTTTGTATGCATTAACTGGAGACATGCGGTTTTTTGTACACCTTTTACAATGTGGCGAATTGTGGGTGTTTTAATCGTGTAAGGATCTCCCCTTTCTATAGGGTCTAACCCACCTGCCCAGTAGGCAGCTCTCTGGGTCAGGGACCACGGGGCTCGGTTATCATTTGTGGTCAGGAAAACCCCAGGGCCCCAAAATCCTCTGGCCTCATCTTCACTCAACAAAATCCGATCTCCCCCAGTAAGGGATACCCTCCACACATATTCAGTCTCTGACTCACTGGCCTTACGGCTATATTTTTCCTGAATTTTGGCCAGTGCTTCCCCCGTGTACGGGGTAGTTCGTGTGGTAGTTTGCCGATCTGCCCCCTGGCCAGTGGTTTCAGTTTTAATGAGGGGACGCATATGTATTACCCCCTCCTCCGGGTAACTTTGCTTCAATTCTTCTAATTCCACAGAGGGGTACAGGGATTTGTTAACATCTACCGGTTTAGGGTATTTTGAATTGATGTCTCGCAATTCACAATTTTTCATTTCCAGTATTTTTTTAAGCCTTTCATTTTGTTCCTCCTCATCTTCAAGGGCTGACCTAAGCAATGAGTTAATCTCTCTCTCTTTTTCCAGTGCCTGGCGTTCAGCAGTTAACTGCAGGCGTTCTTTTTCTAATTGCTCCTGTAATGCCTTCATTGTCTCTTGAAGAGACCTTATCACCTCACCGGTAGATTTTTGAATAGCCTCTTTTCCTAGTTGGTCCTGCAAAGTTCTCATTGACTCTTGGAAAGATTTTGTCACTTCACTTACAGATTTTTGAATAGCTAATTTTTGCCTTTGCACTGCTCTAAGGAACAAGCCTAAGACAGCACCCAAAAAAAACAGTTCTAAACCAAGGATAGCTATCAGGAGGGAATAATCCCCATATAACTCAACCCGGGGTGTCATCCCCTTCGCCTCAGTCATTAACCCAGCTTAGGTTAATGTCTTTCTCCCCCTTAACCCTCTGAGGGCTGGTTTGACTCTCTCCTGGAAAACCTTTCAACAGGTCCAGGTACCGGAGAACCTTTCAACAGGTCCAGGCCACACCAGGAAACCTTTCAACAGGTCTGATGTGCCCGGGTCACACCGAGAGGAGAGAAATTCTTACTATAATTTTACTGCGAGGGAACAGTCACCATTTGACTCGCCCTCGGTACCAGTTTTAGACTACACCGATTACTCCACCACATCCAAAGGATCCTGTCCGTGACGCCAAAAATGTTACGACCCGCCCCAGGAAAAGAGAAGGGGGGGGGTAACTCAGGTTTTATCAAAAATTCCTTTGGGGTGGATTAAAGCGAAGCGACGCTAAATAATCGGTGTATGCAAATATATAAGATTTATTTCAACAGTTTTGTATCAACAAGTAAGTTAATAAGATTTATCTTAACAGTTTTGTATCAACAGATAGGTGAACATTTTTTTGGGGTGCTGTCATAATCAATAGGTAACTTTTCTGGGGAGGAGAAAAATGCATAGGAGAGAGAGAAAGGCAGGATAAGAGCCAGGGGGAGTAAGGGAAAGAAAAGCTGAGAGTAGATAGATGTCCATAGTCACCGCCCACGGGGTCCAGCGATGCTTGATGGTCTTGATTCGCAGGCGGTGGGGGAGAAGAACTCCCGAATTCCCAAAGTTACCAGTCAGTTTATATGCTCTAGTGCCTCCTGGCATAAGGGGTTGTTTTTCCCTTTTTTGGGACAGTAGTGCCTCCTGGCATAAGGGGTTGTTTTTCCCTTTTTTGGGACCGTAGTGCCTCCTGGCATAAGGGGTTGTTTTTCCCTTTTTTTTTAGGAGGAAACAGTAGACAGTCAAGAGCCCGCAAGCTCGGCTCCTTCCCGGCAGGTGTGTCAATAGCCCGAGGTCGTTGTTTTTCTTTTAGGAGGAAACAGTCAAGAGCCCGCAAGCTCGGCTACTCCCCAGCAGGTGTGTCAAAAACCCGAGAATGCATAAAACATCAACTATTTTAGTCTCTGACACCCAGCCCTAAACCTGTTTTGACTACTTTTATTGTCACTAGATGTCCCCATTCTCCACAGAATTACAATATGAAAATTTATTTAGAAACAGAATAAACACGTCTGAACACACATTATATGAATTCTAAACCAATGGTTAGAAGTCTCACTGAACTCGCATGTGGCAGCAGTTCTTGTGAAACACATTATTGGCTTCAGTATAATTTGAATGGACTCCACAATGACAGTCAAAACCGCTACACACAAACTGAATTCCTGAGACTACTGACAAAAGATCATCAGATTTTCGTTGTTAAAAGTTTTGATGCATGGATAAACACTGGCATGTGGGCACTCCTTATTCAGTAAGATAAATTCTATCATTTGAGCACATGAAAACTCTATAGGATAAAATCCTTGAATGTTTAGGCTCCTTTAAAGTCTAGGATACCTTTATGGATATATCTTATATATCCTATATACCTTCCTACACTATATAGATATATCTTATCTTTATCTATTAAACATTATTATGAACATATACAGATAAGCAAACACATATTGTCCAATTGTCAAGTTTCCTCTCATCTTCTCTTTTCATTTTAGGACTTTGGGTTTCACAATAAAACAGTTATTAGAATTCTCATCGCCAGGAGCGAGATTGACTTGATAAATATACGGCAGCGATACAAAGAAAGATATGGGAAATCACTCTTCCATGACATTAAAGTAAGTTTCTGCAAACTTTTGCATATATTCAGCACTGGCATCACACAGACTGTGCAAAGCCCTACCAGGAAAATACAGAGGGTTAATCTCCATTTAACCACTTGGTTTAAAAAAAAAACAAACACAAAACCAAACAAAAAAAGCAATGTATAAAAACAACAGAGAATTTTCAGTGCCTTGGTTTGGCTTCAGTAAGTGAGCAGTGAATTCTCAACTCACTCCCTCTCTGTGATTTTGTCCCTCCTCAATGCAAGAGGAGTATATAGACAGGGCAGGACAGTGTGTGCTGAGGAGTAGTTTGCGTGAATGGTTTCGACACTAATTGAAAACATCTTACTTCATGCTGTTCTGCAAGGTTAGGCTGATACCACTTTTGTGCAAAACTGAAGTAAATATCTGGTTTTATCCTTATGCTTAGACAGCACTTTAACAAAAAGTATTCCTCTTGTACTTTTGCTCTGTATCTTAAAACAAAAATTTGAAACTGTTTAATTGTACCAAAAAAAATTACTCTTGCTAAGACACTTTACTTTTTTTATATCACTATAATCTAACTGCAAGATGCACAGCAACTTTAAGAAACTGCTCAGGATTTTTTGGTATTGAACTTAAGAAGTAATAAACAGATTTGATCCAGCATTGTTTCTAGGTGCCTGAGCAACTAAAGACCAAGGTATGTGAAATTAAAAAAAATCTCAGCCTGTAATTCTTATGAAAACAGTGTAATATCTTATAAAACCATATAGCAGTCTAGTCCTTGTCATACACCAAGAGAAGAAAAATTCAGAAAAGGTATAGTCACTGAAATGTTGATTTTTTTTTCTTGCAGCATTTTGCATCAGGGCATTATGAGAGTGCTTTACTTGCTATCTGCGCTGGTGATGCAGAAGATTATTAAGTAAGAAGACGAACTTTGAAGAGTGCAAATCTATTTTAAACAGAAATTGAAGCTATACAAAATGCAGTAACTGTAAGAGATCCCTACCTTACATAATAGATCAGCAAAATCAGTACTATACATCTGCTAATATTAAATCTTCCTTGCGGCAAGAAAAAGATATTGGCAGGAAGCTGGTTTTATTCCTAGTTCTAATTAATATTTCTGGTTTTACGATTAATGTAAATTAATGAAGCAAGTGGTAAAATTACTCCCGGTAAGCATATGTTTATCATTTCGTGTCACAACACTCCAAATATTTGTCAACAGGCTCTGGAAGAACCTACTCTCTTCCACACTGGAGTAAAAAAAAAATATTTTGCTTTCTTTAATTTTATCAGTAGGATTTCTTCCTTTAGGTAAATTTTTTCTGCTCTTTCCTACTTCTTATACCTCATATTTTATGCTCTTGAACATTATTGTTTTAGTTACTATCAAATTAAGCATCTGCCCCATCTGTTATCAGTGACTCACCAGAATCCTTTAGTATTCTCTTTCATTTGGCCCACATACTTCATGGCATTTCCCTTATTCTGTTTGAAACAAAAGAAAAAATTAGAATCAAGTACCCAAACCATTCTTGATTGAGTGCCACGCACTGGAAAACCCTGGAAAGCGAAACATTAGTTAGCTTTGAGCAGAGAAGTTCCATGGAATTAAACTCTGAATTCCATCTGTACCTATTTCATTTTAATCATTAATTAAATATTGACCTTCAGAGCATGGAGGTATATCCAGGATGCCCTGGGTGGTTTAATTCAGGAGCTGACTACTAATCGATGACACTGCACCTCCAAATGAGGCTGAAGGATGCGGCGCTCCCTGGAATACCTGCAAACACAGGCTGACGACACCTGGTGACAGCAAGTCACATAGCAAGGAATGAAGACAGCAGAGCTCAGCCTCGAGTCCCCGTTCCACAAGAGAACGTGGCGCTGCTTTTTAAACACCCTGAGTCTATGGAGGGCAGCCTATCCATGCGACTTCCCAGCCTGTGTGCACGTACCTGCTGTCAGCGTCTTACGGACACAGAAATGAGGGAAAGTGTGGTAATATTCACTGAAATATCTGCCCTTAGTTTTTGGCCTGCAGCCACAAGGTGTCCGACCGGGAAGAGCCGTTCTCCATGTTTTTACACGGGCACTTCTGCAGGTGCAGCTCAGTGAGACAATAAAGCACTGCTACAGAAACCTACAAATATCTGGTTGCTTTGCTGCCGCTTGCTCCTGTCCTTCCCTCAGCCGGTGGAATTAACACTATTTGCAGCGTTATCTGGCTTCTTTGAAAATACTGACTTCATGTTACAACTCTATTGATTTATAATAAACTTAAAATTTTATTCGAGTCCCTGTTGAGTTTAACTAATTTCAAAACATTTCGAGCGCATAGTTTAATTGTTAAGCCTGAACTTTGGGAGGAACGGCTTTGGGAGCAAAAAGAAACTAAGGGGAAAAAAAAAAAAAGGAAAATGAGCTGAGCACCGTCCCAACTTCTAAGCACCAACACAACCCTAAACCGAAGTTCTGTTCTGATTTTGCAGCTCTAGCTAGAGGCAGATCGCTACAGCCGTACATCGGCGCTGTGGAGTCACTTCGTTTTACCCCTGCACACTCGCAGATCGGAACGAGGACACATCCCTGCACCGCAAGCGCCCCGGACTCCCGAACTTCCCGGCCGGCACGCGGGGTGGGAACTCCGCGCAGAGCCCGTCACAAGATGGCGGCGGCGGCGCTAGGACCCTGCGCGCTCCGTAACGCAACTGCCCGCGCGCCAAGCACGGGGCGGGCCCCACAACCCTCCGCCCCACCCCCCCCGTGTCGTTCCCTGCTTTTATTGGACAGCAGCGACGTCAATCTCAGGCCTCCGCCTATCGCCAACGCGCCTCTCCTCGCCCCGCCCTCTGCGGGCGGGGTGTCGCTCCTTCGGGAGTTGCCGGCTGGAAGCGGCGCTGAAGGCGCCGTGTTCGGGGGCTTTCGGGCTGCCTCGCCGCGCCGCAGCCGCCTCGGTGGCCGCCGAGCTGGAAAGCGGACGGGGCAAGCGGGACGAGTCTAGGCCCAGAGCAGCAGGCAGGAGCGGCGGCCGCCCGGCTCCCTCACCGGCCGCGATGGAGCGTAAGCCTGACGTGCGCCGTGTGCCTGTCGCTTGCTGAGGAGCCGGTGACGCTGCCGCTGTGCTCGCACAACTTCTGCGGGGCCTGCGTGCTGGAGTGCCTGGCCTCGCCGAGGCCCGCCCGCCTGCGGGCACGCTGCATGCGGGGGCCGGAGCAGGCGCGCCTGGGCCGGGGGGCGCCGGGGCGGCCCGCCGCCTGCGCCCGAGTGCCGTGCACCGCTGTGGCAGGGAAGCCTGGTGCCTGCTGCCCCGCGCGGCGTCGCCGCCTGCCGTCAACACCACCCTGGAGAGGTGGTCAAGCTCTACCGGTCCGGCGTGGCGGGCGCCGCAAGACCGGGGAGGCGGCGCCGGGGCCGAGGCCGGGGTCCGACCTGCTGTCCCCGCTGGCGCTCGGGGGAAGCTGCCACAAACACCCGAACCGGCCGGTGCAGCTCTACTGCCGCATGTGCCGGCAGGCGGGGTGCGGGCAGTGCGTCTCCGAGGAGCACCAGGGCATCTTCCACTCCGTCAACCTCATAGACACGGTGTACCAGGAAGAAAAAGTAAGCCCGGGGCGTCCCCTTCGCGCCAGGGGCCCGACTGGGAAGTCGGGCTGTCCGCTGGGGATTCCACCAGTCACGGGTTGTGTTTACTCAGAAACGCAGGGAAAACCGCAGTGTGGTGGTCAGGAGAGAGGCGGAGGGATTGTGCTGGTTCGAGCCAGAGGCAGGAGTTGTTCGTGTCTGCCGGGGTGTGCCTTCCCCTGCTGCCGTCACACTGCGTCCACCACACAGGGGACCAGGCAGTATTACAGTATGAACAGATCTGAACCCAGTTTACTGAAGCACCTGGAGAGTTTTTGTTTTGGTTTCGTTTTTTTGTCGTTGCTTTGGTTTGTAGTGGGTTGGGTTTTTTTTCATATAGAGACTTTGCCGAAAAAACACTGATGCTAAGAGTTTATTGCATGTCTGGATCCAGTTGTTCCAAGTTCAGGAAGATGCCAGTCTTACTAACACCACCAAAATCCACCTACTGATGTTTTGTTTATAGGTTCTCTGAGCTGCCTTAGTAATTTGGGTCATAGATAATTACATATTTAGGACTAGATAGTTTGGGTGAGTAATAATTAGATAAATGTAAAACCAAGATGCCTTCCAGTTTGCATGAAGGAAGCAATTGCCTGGCCTAATGCTTGGTTGGCTGGTTGTAGTGGTTGTGATTTTTGCCAAAATATTAGGATAGGATGAGCTCTTCGTGCCCTGTTCAAACTGGGTGCAGGTTGGCATGTCATACATCAGTTCTGTTGTAGACTAATTGAAACAACTACATGGTAGTGAATGAAAAGTACTAAGTACAGCACTGACTGTTCTTTAAGACAAAAGTTGCTTTTACAGTGATTTTTCTCCTACCTTTCCCATCACCAATTGCATGTCAATCAGGAAACCAGGGGAAAACAGCCTTTGTGCTAGACATCCTACATAAAATTTAGTGATACTGTAGCAAAAAAATCTGTGATAATGTTAGTTTAAAACAAGATATCTTGGTTGTGAACAGCTTTCTATTTTTTTGATGTGAGGTATAAAAAAAAAATTACTATCACTCAGTTTGTTGTCAAACTGGAATTAAAACTTACATTGTGATAGATGTGTGTGAAGGGAGGTTAAAAAAAGGTTGAGTAAAACAATATTTTAAGTATAAAGCAGCTGTTTCAGCAGTACGCATTGTAGGTAAGCCTAAGAACATTACTTTGAGAAAGAGCAAAAGAAAGTTTGTGTACTGATCCAGGAAAGCATTAAATGTTTTAAGTGATATTTTGAATTGCGACCTTTGTTTAATACGTTGTACAAAATATCACAGAATAGTTAGGGTTGGGAGGGACCCAACTCCCCTGCCAAGGGAGGGTCACCTAGAGCAGGTGACACAGGAATGTGTCCAGGTGGGGTTTGAATGTCTCCAGAGAGTGGAGGCTCCACAACCTCCCTGGGCAGCCTGTTCCAGTATTCTACCACCCTCAGTGTAAAGAAGTTCTTCCTCACATTGAGAACTTTCCATGTTCTAGTTTATGGCTGTTGATCCTTGTTCTGTTGCTGGGCACCAGTGAAAAGAGTCTGGCACTATCCTCTTGGCACCCAGGTGTGAGATATTTATATTCATTAATGAGATCCCCTCTCAGTCTTGTCTTCTCCAGACTAAACAGGCCCAGCTCATGCGATCCCTCCTCATAAGAGACGTGCTCCAGACCCCTTATCATCTTTGTGGCCCTCCACTGGGCCCTCTCCAGTAGCTCTGTTTTTCATGATCTGATTCTAGATAAAGACTGAAATGTATTTGTGGAATGGATAAACTCATAATAAAGTGTTTCAATTGTCTTTCAGTTAACCTTCTTCAGCACTCTGAAACAAATGAGAATAATAAATGAGAAGCTGATGAATGAGATCTCAAAACGACCAAATGATACGGATGTGAGTTAGAGATGCTGCATATTATGTGTGTGTGTGTCTTTGTTTCTCTTCTCATGATAGCTTAATCGTAACATAGAGCATCAGGTCCTTCTTGTGGCATAGATGTCCTCTGAACTTACTTAGAGAAGTCAATATACACTGCTACTGCATTTGCGTCTGTTCCTATATTCTTGCACTTCTAGATGATGCTGAACAACGATGTGGAGATAATTGAGCTGAAATTTGGAGAAATTTTCAAAACTCTAGAAATGAAAAAACAGCAGTTACTAGAAGATGTTGAAAATCAAAGAGGTAAAAAAGAGAAAGAATTTCAGATTTGGAAGAAAATGAAAGAAACTCACAAGAAGACCATTGAGAATTTTTTGAAGGATTGTGAAAAGCTTGTCCATGAGTGTGATCCTCAGCGTTTCCTGGAGGTGATGGCCTTTTGTTTCTATTTGATGTCACTTGTATAATGAACTCAAATAGAGCCTGCTATATTGTAGGTTATGATTATGACTCAATCAGGGAAAACAAATTTGATAAATAAAAAATAGACTAAAATTATTTAACTCTTCATACTTTATTTATAACAACACTCTTAATTTTTAGAAAAGTTTGAAAAAGCTTTCTTTTCAGCTTATCAGTGGTGATTTTTAGTGTATTCAGTAGACACTTTTTTTTCTTCACTAACAAATGAAATTAAAGTTGACTGTACAGTTGTTGCTGTAACACTTGCTGTGTTATGGTACCAGCTGTGAAAGTAAGCTGCCTTAGTGCTGGATGAAGAGTTATTTACTAGTACTGCCTTCAAAGTTGTCTCATATTTCTTTATTTTTCATATTTGTTTTCAAATACTTAGTGTATTAAGCACCTCCATTGCATTTTTAAACTTCTAAGATACTAAAAATGCTTTCTGGGGAAAGATTTGAGGCAGAACTTTTAACTTGTCTGTGCTGCACTGTGGAGTACTGTGTTGAGATACCTGAGCTAAGGTGATTATACTGATACTTAAGCCTGCCCACCAACGTGTGCAATAGAGGTAAATCAGGCTTTTCAAAGCTAAGCTTTGATACTTCTGGCATATGCTGTGCCTACATAGTATGTACACTTACGTATGGAAGACCCTGAAAGTCTTCATCATAGTGTTCAATGGAACTGTGCCTTCTGTTCCTCCTCCACTTTTGCCTTTGGTTCCTTCTTACCCTTCTGACCTTCTTCCTCCCATTCCTCCTGTTCATTTTCTTCCTCTTCCTGCTGTTTGTTCTCTTCCTCTTTAACTTAGCACCTCCCGGCCTGCCCTCCATAACAATACATTGTTTTTCTTTAAAGATTCATTACAGCAAGATTACCAGGTTTTTATAGGAAAGCAGCTATAATCCAGTCAGTTTTTTTACTTTCCATTACCTGTTCTTTGGAAGTGCCACTTGATTACGGTACAGTGCACTTCTTACTGCCTTTATCTGCCTGATTTAAAACTAAAAGACAGCTTTTTAAATAGTGTAATAGCATATTGAGAGCACATAGCAGATGCTTTCCTCATCAAGAAATACAAAATAGACTTTCATTTGAATACTTATAAATATCTGAACATCTGAAGTGGATTAGGTAACCATATGGATCATGATTTAAATCCCTTCATTTGGCTCCAAAGGAGTTCTTTTTTTCTTTAACGCAGAATATTACAAGATAAACCATCCTCCTAGGCTTTTTAACATTTGAATGGTTTGGGGGTGGTGGTTTTTGTTTGCTTGTTTGTTTTGTTATTGGTATTGTGGTTTTTTTGTTTTGTTTTTAATATTTTAACAAGTTTATTTCCTATAGTTTCATGATATGAAGACAGGCAATTCAGTCTCTCATGTATTTTGATAAAGCAATAACCTTCTTTTGACAGTTGGATGAAAACTCTATCTTACAAATTCTTGTTTTATTTATAGGTTGCCTGTGGCTTGAATACAAGGTATATTTTAATTTTTTTCATGTTTTGCTTTCTGTAGTGTTATTTTAGATATTTTACATTAAAAACTAAAAAAACAGTTACTTTGGATATCATCAGATAAGCGATTTAAAATGAAAATAGTTTTGAACAATTAAGACATAATACTTTAAGATTTT